CTTCTTCTTCTTCTTCTTCTTCTTCTTCTTCTTCTTCTTCTTCTTCTTCCTTCCTTCCTTCCTCCTCCTCTTTCTTTCTCCTCCCTCCTCCTTCCTCCTCCTCTCCCAGCCCTGGGGCTGGGCCAGCCGGACCCATAACAGCCTATGGCGTGTGGGCCAGGCCTGGCCTCTCCTTCTGATCTTTGTGTTTCTGCCAGCACACTTTCTGATCTCTTCTTTTTTATGGTTTGGATGGCCAGCTGGTTTTTACAACCCCTGCCTCTCCTTTCTGCCAAGGCTGCAGTCACTCTCACTCGGATGGTTTTTATGGCCCAGTGAGGCCTTGTGAGCTTTGCCCAGAGCTGGGGCTGGTGACTGAGGGTGTGTTTTTGTCTATTGGTTTGGTTATTCGCCTTTTTATGAAGCTCGTTACAATATCTATGTATGTAAAGACATGGTGAATAATTAATAGAAAGATTCAAGGTTCAGATTCACCAGCTACTTCGAGGGAAAAAGATGGCCAGTCTCCTCTTAGAAAGATTTTCAGCCTCAGAAACCCACCAGAGAGCCACCATGGATTGTCACTGTGTATAAGTCAGCATTCGTGGCCTCGTCTGGAGGGAGTTGTGATGCTAATTCAGAGACCATACCTTCAAATCTCTGAGCTGCTGTGGGGTAAAGACATAGACAGTTTCCTCCTGTGCAATCCAGAATCCTTCTGGAGTTGATTCTGAGTCAATGGCAATGAGACAGATACTTAAATAGATGTTGTTATGTGCCATCAAGTCTCCTGCGACTCATAGCGACCCTATGTATAACAAACAGGTCTGAATCCTGCTCTATCCTGAGCCAACATTGTCATCTCTGACAGCCCCCCGCCATTGCCCCAGTCACTGAATCAATCCATCTCATCGAGGGTCTTCCTCTCCTGCACTGTCCCTCCATCCTCCCAAGCATGATGTCCCTCTCCAAGGACTGATCCCTCCTTGCAACATGTCCAAAGTATGTCAGACGAAGCTTCAGAGTCCTTGCCTCCAAGGAGCAGCCTGGTTTAACCCTCTCTAGGATGAACTTGTTTATTCTCCTAGCAGTACAAAGTATATTCAATACCTTTCTCCAGCACCACAGCTCAAAGGCATCAATTCTCCCTCTATCATCCCTAGTCATTGTCCAGCTCTCTGATGCATAGCAAGTAATTTAAAAACCTATGGCCTGGATCACACACACCTTAGTCTCCAGAGTGATAGCATTGCTCTTCTGTGCTCTGGAAAAGTCCCTGATGGCAGACATATATGTAACATGCCTGCTGTCGTTGACTCAACTCTTCCTCAGCTAGACTCTGCAGGACAGACTAGAACTGCCCTGTTGGGTTTCTGAGGCTATGAATTGTATTTAATGCGGTCAGCCTCATCTTCCTTCCAGGGAGCAGCTGGTAGATTCGAACCGCCAACCTTTTGGTGAGCAACCCAGTGCTT